ATGAGCTGTGGTTATATCACATTCCGGTTCTACGACACCAAACAAGGTAAGAATGACACCATCCGAATCAAGAGGCGTCTGGGAGAAATGACGTGTTGGACAAAGCTAGCTGAAATGACAGGTAATGTGAAGTAGTAGCTAGGTGCCACTGAGTAGACTGGGATAGAATTTAAAGGAGTAATCTGAGAGCGTGTGGCAAATAGTTGAGCGGATATTTCGACTGTTTCTTAGATTAGGAAGTGAGTCTGGTAGGACTTCAAATGAAATTTCATATTTTAATTTAAGTCGGTTTGTGCTGATAACCTTAGAATTACTGTCCAGCTATCTCATTCTTGCTGAGAATCGTTACCAGTTCACGTGTCGAGAATCTCTTGAGGCACTGAAACCCCGAACATTGTACCATTCAGCTGCAAATGGTTGCTAAGGTTTGCTATCAACCTAAACTTAGACGAAACAACGCCACTCATCCCTCAATCATCTGGTTCTCTTGATTGGCGTTTTGAGATGGAAGGCATGTGCACTGGCACAGGGGATTTTTTCCTCCTGAATTAATTACTCACAGTTTGTGGGTAGCGAGGAGATTTTAAAGTTTCACTTGACTTTTCTTTCAAGCATACTCAGTCTGTGCTGAATGGTCGCGAAGCGCTATGCAGGTGTCTCATCTTTGTTGGGAATAACCGGTTTTCTAGTTTGACCGTGTCGTACTAGGTCTCATAGTTTGATCAAAGAGTATAATGAGATACCTGTCCAAAACTTATTACAAATTTGTAACTTACCCGGTTCAGTTAGAACGTGTTTTATGGTATTCGGGAAAATAATGTGTAAAAACCGGGAGAACCGTATTATGAATGGGAGAAACAGATACGGTAATATGGGAGGTTACTACCAAAATGGTTGGCTGCACACATCCATGGAGCAGATAAGCTAGAAAGTGACAAATGCTTAATTGCTAAGTATGATGTGATGTCAGTTTTCATTCTTATTCTATATCCTACATAACTGCAGTCGGTTGACTCCTCGGTAAGATTCTGCGTTTTCGCTGTCATCGCACTATCCCATCCGCCATTATTTCTTGATGTCCTGGCAGGTTCTCATGATCATTTTGACGAACACTCATCAGTATCATCGTTTCCTTTAGTTTATATAGCCACATTATTGGTTCATCGTGTGATTGGGCATCATGCATTTGAAAAACACATCTGACACTATGCTCTCCGGCATTTTCCCCATTCCCATGGTGTCTCATCTGTATATTTTTCACGCTGTCCAGTCACTTGTTGCTTTTTGACCGCCAATATTTCTTGTGTCTTATAAAGCATGGCCCCACAATTTACGGTCAACCATTATGAGGAAATCCTCTTGGAGTTCAACGTATTTAGTTGGTTTCTCAGAGGTTGTTCAAGCCGTTCTATCTTTTCCATTGAAAATGCTACTACTAATTTTGGTAGGTTTCTTCGGACAATTTCTCTAAAAGAGTGCAGGTGTATTTTGGTAGGCTTGTCATCCATGAAGTACAAACCTGCTGAAGTGGCTGTTCAGTTGGGCGTATAGTGGCAAAGGTTAAGTGGTCAGATATTTCTGTGGAACCATGAAATCGAGTTCACTATTTATGACACCTTTTTTATCTCTTAGTAATTCTAAACTGATTTGCCTCCAGCAAGACACTAAATGACGGCCCTCACAACCCGATTACCTTCAAAATACCACTTGATGTTCTTATATTATGGTACGGCCCTAATCTAGGGTTACCAAATGTATTATAATTTAATAGGCTGAACGCATCTCCAAGCAAACTGAGTACTGTAAGCTCAGTGGATGGTAGTTGGTAGCACTCCGGAGCACACATACTCTCTGGTTGAATTCGGCAACAAGCATCTTTTGCTAAAACCTTGCTTTCCTTATCTGTCGATGTATGTTTTGCCTCCGAAACCCCACTTTGGTCGTGCACCTTAAGCTATTTAGGACGAGCTCAGATGTTTCACATTTCACCCTTTGGGTATCCGGTAATCCTGACGCAAAGGATCGTGGTACCTACGATGTGAGATTGCACTCATCCCCAAGGCTGAAAGCGTCTTACTGGACTTGATCCAAGTAAACAGTCGTTTTTGCGCTGTGTAGTTGTCGATGCGATTTCTTTTTGTCATGTCAGCACACGCTCCTACAAACTACAGTTCTGAGGCTGAGAAGGATGGGTCTTATCAAGAACTGTCACGAATGATCCGGTCAGCAAGACGAACGCATATAGTAATCCTGTCGGGTGATATAAATGCCCAAGTTGGACGAAGAAGCCAACTCAGCTTAAATGTAACAGCTTTCTGAATCATGATAAAACCGACTAGTGCACCAGCCCTAAATATAATAGTCTTCTACCTCATACTGACTACTACGTGCGACTACAAAAATGACATTACGGCAGATTCTTCTTACTAGTGGAGATTTTGATGTGAGCGGCTCAGCTAATCATATCTGGTGACACTCAAGTCCGAAATGTTACAGGCTCGTTTATACGAGTGTGAAGGTTAATTTCAGGCCTTTTTAAATATAATTACTGCGAACGGATTGTTTAGCCTCGTTTTTGACTCTGTTAACCTTGGTACATTAGTAGATAATTGTTGCGATATATGACAATCAAAGTTTGTTAACGTCCTGAGAACTCTGTTGGATGAAATAACAGAAAAAGAGTACACATGGATTAAACTCAGATGGTCTTAACATCATTTCAGGTGTCAGAGAAGGCTTTGTTCTTGCATCAGCCTTCCTCATTCTTTCTGGCGCCGATTTTGGACGTAATTTCGGTGAAAACGATGCTAGTGTGCAGTTCTAACGTCGCTTTGGTGGAAGTCTTGTTGCAGACTCTGGTCCACCAGAGTGGTGTCAGCATTATTGCGTTCGTGATTGATTATGATTTTCTCATGTAGTAATAGTGAACTGCGGTGCCCAACTAAGAGATAATCAATCCCCTCTGTAAGTTTTCACCCATGCATCGTGGTGAACTGGTCAGGCCCCCCGGGTGACCACTGGGGCAGCTTTCATCGGATACTGTGGAAGCCTCTGATACGTCAGTGGTGCACTGTCTGTTGATTTGGCCGTTGACCGTGATCCAACGTGACCAACGGTAATTTAGCTTTTGCAAAATCTGACGAATGAGTGTGCAAAAACGGAAGCTTGTGGTCCATCACTATCCTACGTGTGTGCAAATCAGTCTTTCGTTTGTCGTTTTATGGCACTGCAACAATGACCGTGCACTGGCACAGTGCGACAGCTCTATCGCTTTCATGTGTGGTGCCTGAGACGAGTGCTGTGTTAGGTTGACTGAGTGTCAGGTACACCGGTTCTTCGATAGAAACGTTATGATAGTCATATACGGCCGTCTACAATTGTCAGGGCCTACTTACCTCAGAGAGTAAAGCACGATCCCGGAGCAGCCACTGCGTAGAGAAACATATAACAAAAAAATAAATTCTCGTGATACATGCGCACCGTGGTTGAAAGTTATCTGCATCGGCCTCGTGGGCAGCCACTGGTAGAGAAACATAACAAAAAAATGAATTCTCGTGATACATGCGCACCGTGGTTGAAAGTTATCTGCATCGGCCTCGTGGAATGGGATGCTGACATAAAACAGGACATCGTGGAGGGAGACGATGTGAGTGCGTGTCTCCACCGTTTCAGCGGTTGGTAACTTCGAAGCAGAGCGCCGAACCGTGCGAGTCGTAAGGGTACTGTCGCACCTGGCGACTGTAATAGTGATTGTGCAGTTCCTGTTAGGTTTATTGGCGCCGAATCAAAATAAATTAGTCAAGTGACAGATAATTTTTTCAGACTCTCCTTAAGGTCGTGAGATTATCAGATGACCACGACTTCGTATATAATGGAACAAAATCATGGCGAATCTAGCAGCTGGCACAAAACCACGATGAGGGTGTATCCGTTTGTGTGAGCATGTAGGGTCTAGAAATAAAGTCTCCTAAATGTTTACTAGTGGCACAGATCATCATTCTTGATTGTCGGTAGTATCACAGCAGTCAGAGTTCACGCTTGACTACTTTTCAGTCGGATCCATACTGGTTGTAGCCTTGATGGCTCGGTGCATACCCCATGTCGGTAGCTTTTTACGGGCCATGAAAATTCAGCGCACTCTCTGATGCACTAGTTTCTCACAATGATCACCCCAACTACGCATAAAGTGATGTAGACCAGTTGTTCCAGTCTTTCCTCCTTTGCTCTGTCTTTATATGTTGCCATCTTATGGGTCTTAGGCTGTTCAGTATTAACAGTCCATTTCTATGAGTTTCCCATCTGATTTCAACCGTCTGTTGTATAGCTTTAGCTTCTGTCCGATGACTTACTTTGTCCCTTTATTTTCTAAATACCACTGCTGACTACGCCCTTAATATTTCTTGTCGACAATTCATGCACTGGTGGAATCCTAATACCTTCATTTATGAAATATAGAAAACTGTATTTGGTGTTTTGCGACGCCCTTCAACAATCGATGTGCTTGACACAGGAAATATCGCGCATAACGATGTTTCCGCCTTTGTACTTCTTTGAGCCTTTACAAAATATGTAGTATTTGTGTGCTTCGATTATATATATTACTCGACAACACATTCAGCCAACCAAGCAGGTTTGGGCTATGATTCAGCTAAGTTGAGCGAATTGTTTGCATGTCGAACGTCGTATACCTTCTTAGACAACATCTGGTTTCAGACGTATAAAGGTTTCATGAGTGTCTACTTTCACTATTGTTTTCCATTACTTTTTGTTGTACTCCTCCTTGTTGTATGCTTTTGACCCGAGTACTGTTTTTTGGCTCGTTAAGTGGAAACGCATGATTCGATTTGCATCATTGGTGTAAACAGTACCCGGTAGTGTGAACAGGTGTGCATCATATTACCCGACTGCTTTTTATCCTCACATACACACATTCGTTTTCGATTTGTCATTGTGTGCTATATGTGTGTCTTCTAATAATTGTTTAATATGTCTCATGGCAGACCGCAAACCGGGTTCCTTTGGCGTTCTGCCCCCCTGGTGGTTACACTGGCCCCGACTGTGAGGGACTGACCTATCCATCAGAAAACCTCCCAGGAGTTGTGGGGGAAAGGTCCTGGTCAGGACCGCATTTCGATTGGCTATCCACTTACCATCCTATACCGAGTCCGTATGTTCCACAAATTGGAGACAGAATCATCTATGTTAGACGTGGGCACCAAGAATATATACGTCAGGCTTGGCAAACTGGTCAGCTTCCACAACCGGATAGCCTACATTGTGTTTCTTCAACTGTTCGAGGTAAAAGTGAGACAGTGAGTTCTTCAAGTACCTACTCGCCAGAACTTCCCTGGGACATCTGGCCTCATATTCTGGTAAGAACGGGTCGCTGTATTGTCTTCCTGTATACTTGTTTCGTCTGATCATTTGAGTCCTTTTCTAAACTTTGGGATTCAATTCACAGAAGCCTTCCTTTTGAACTGATTCCTTAACGGAACCGTTCATTTCCTCTGGGTGCTGAACGTTTGAGGTGAATAGACTGCTTGATCTTTCTTTTCTTCGTCGTATTATGAGAGGCCTAGGTTTGCTATTCGATTTCTAACCAAATTTAAGCCTTCAGGTCATATCTAATTTATCCTTCACACTAGTCATCAGCCAATCACCATGGATTATGTATGGTTTTCCAACCGGACGCCGCCACAGTCTGTTCATCCGGTGTTTTTCCTCCACTGGACAATTATTTTAATTCAGCTTCTAGTGGTCTTAGGTACAATTATTTGATGCTTGTGTAGGGTATCTGTCATACCGTTTTCCGCCATCTATTCAGCATCAGTTTAGGCAGTTAGTTTAGCGTGATAGACTTCTGTCAAGTCCAGTGATTCTAATTTTTCAGGACTACGTTTGTGGTGAAGTTCAGTCGATTTCCTACACGGTTGTACGCATTACAACCAATTCTGAGTGTCATCCCAACCGTCATCATGGCAAACGTCATAAGTCACCTGGCTGGCGTAAACAACAGCGTGCGCGTGGAGCCACGCACATTCGGGCGTCAGATAAACACGCTCAGTCACATTCTTCGAGTTGTAGCCGCAATTCGGATACCTCGGAAACGAAATCTGACGAGAGTTTTATACGCCTGGTGACGTTACATGTCAAACTAGAATCGGAACAACCGTATGCTTACCTCGGTTCTGCCGGTTCGTCACGCTATTCCGGCACACAGCAACCCGAGTGTCTGAGTATCACTTACCATGATGTGGACGGCATATTGGAATTTGTTGTCTTACGACACCTGTTCGACAGGGCGATGCAGCATCATTGGTGTGAGGGTATGTTTCTCCGATCCATAATATGTCGATTTTGCGAGTTTCGCATATGCGTTCAGCAACTCATATTTAACAAGTTATTTTGCTGACAATACGGAACGATGGGGGGTAGCTTCCCCACTCATTTTTCCAGTCTTTATGACAAATTAGATTCCCATGACTCTCCGTTGTGCAAGTCTACACAACTTTCATGCTATAAAATAATAAAATAAAAAAGCCGCTCAGCTGTATCACCCATTTGACACAGCTATCACGCTACCCAAAGGAGCATGAGGGCTGAGATTATACTGCCCACGTTCTTCCTTCGGGTGGCATGGAAGCTAGGCACCGGAAAGATGTTACAGCTGAACGATTATTTTTAGTAGCTCGACTTAGAGTTCTGACTTTCGCAATCTAAAGGACTTTCCTTCCGGGTGGCATGAAGCTAGGCACCGGAAAGATGTTACAGCTGAACGATTATTTTTAGTAGCTCGACTTAGAGTTCTGACTTTCGCAATCTAAAGGACTTGAACTCTTTTCCAGCCGAGTGGTCCCCATTCACAACTGGGTTTTACTTCAAGTTGTGATATTGAACACTGCAAAAATTATTGGTACGAACCAATAATATGGTTCCATTTGTGAACTCTTATGAAGACATGGGACATTGTACATGAGCGTGTAATTACGACCATTTTTCCTTGCTGCTGTAAATTTACCATATTCCTTGCCGATACCTCCGCCTACCTTTCATATAGGACTTTTCCGTTTTCTCTTAGGTGACCGCTTCGTTTGTCCGGTAGGCACGGCATGGTGGCGCGGACGTATCATAGGTCGCGTGCCTGAAGAACGAATTCAATCTGTCACAGAGCCTACGCCGTGCTGTAGTAAAACCAAACTAAATCAACCGAATCCGTGGTTGTCATTGCTTGTCCGATGGATGCAGCCTTCTGAAACCGGTCTGGAGCCGTTTACTGCGTCACCGATGTTGAGTGAACCCGAATCGACAACGTCGGTCGCTGTTGACCGATTGAGTCCTTGGGACTGTTACCCATGGGATCTAATCAATCACCCTACCAGTGTCCGTACGTTCTTCTGCCTTGCCAGCAGGCTATTGCTTGTTTTCGCTAAACTGAGCCTTTGAGTACTTTTCAAACTGTTCTAGTGGCGACGCAAATCGTAGTTTCGTAGATTCATCTGTCATGCTTGGCAGTATTATCAGTCAAAGGCTACTTATACTTCATTGCAGAAAAGCCGAGTGATGCTAGTGACTCAATTCGTCTCAGATCGGTGCTGCTTCAAGGAAACATGTCAGTAAGCAACCGTGAAGCTGGAGCGAGTTCAGGTGCATAATAAGACGGTCGTTGCAGATCCTGATACAGCCAGAAACTCCCTAGTTTGAGGAATCCAAATTCGCCATACGTTCGATATTTTCTTGACTTCCTCGGGTAAGGGGATATCCATCCACAACTAGTGGCTGGACTACAGATCTGCACTGCCTTCGATTGATCTCATTAGGACTATGACTGTAATTAAAATCTACACTCAGCCTCTGTCGGATTCACGTTGACTCCCGTGTTGATCACCATTCACATCTTCACCTCACTGAACAGATGTGCACATAAGTTCATTATGGAGCTGGGTCATATTAACTCAGTTCCTCATAGTGCGATGCTCCTCTTCACGAAACCAAGTGAGTGTGAGTGTTTATCATCGATTGCTTGGCCAATAAACACCCTTTCTATCGTAACGACCACAATACTTGGCAATTTTAACGTATTTTTACGCAAAGAAGCAATTAATTTGAGAGAGCACTTATAGATTCAACTAATCAAAACACTACGACTTGTTTGTTGGATTCATTGTATGACAACAGCTGTACCATGGACTTTATACGATATTCACTGTCCTCCGAGCAGGCAACATCGGACAAGCTAGGCTTTATTTGGTCCACCATTTGAAGTCCACGACGTTGATCACACATCATTTGTCCAAACGGTTGCACGAATAAGGCGTTCACTGAAGGTTGACTCAACATCGATTATCTACTGGCCAGCTTGGTCATAATGTCATTATACAGCACCCTTTATCCAATAGGACATCATGCATTTTCTTTTAAACTACACACATCTCCGGCAGGGGCATCCCCAATCATCCCCCAACCGCAAACCCCCCCGGCGTAAAAGAGTTTCGGTGCCAGAAAGGCACTGTCTGGATAGTGCTGTGTGCTTGGCGGTTGCCTCAGAGAATTCTCATTTACTGCTGAGCTGGACAGATCGGCAGTAGCAATCGGTAGAACCATATTTAACACGCGTTTCGAATCGGAACAGCAGTTACACTCGTTTTTAGAGCCCTCATAGTACCCGTTTGTTTTCTTCTCTGACCCTTGTGAACCCACGAATTAGTGTCTCTCAATGGGCCCTTTCTATCTTCCAACTCCATTTCCTCCTCAACTGATCCATTTTTTAGTAGCTGTCCCGATGTACCGATGCATACTACTGAAAGTATTCAGAATTCGTTTGTACGAAAGATTCGAGGAGCAATCAGGGGGAATGTTAATTTATCCCCAATTGCTCTTATCGAACCCCCTTCTTCTTGAGGTCGTTTTCTTTTGTGTGTGATCAGTCATGTTAAACATCCTTTTTGTTTTCTCGGATATGGAGGAGCATCTCCGTCCCGCGAATCCCATTAGTTCCTATCGCTATGCTTTTTCACCTCTTATGGTTTCAGCTGATGAAACAACGGAAAAGAGGACTGTTTCCATAGAGGACCAGTCTTTGCGCGCATTGTTTGGCACACCCCGCACTTCGCATGAGACCAAGTTTGCTTTTCGTGAGTATGACCTCCATGGCCACTGCAAGCGTCTTCTGAGTTGTTTTGATAAGGTAAGTAAATCTATGAAATACACTCATTTTAAAACTAACTTGGTCTCAACGAGAGACAGTTGAATCCCAGCCGAATCTCCCGCTTATGATATTCCTCAACCGAGTGCGGTGCACAGAGGCAGTGTACTACGATATCTCGAATATCGTCACCTTTGTGTAGCCAGTCGGTTGAAGAGTATCATAAGCAAGAGGTTCGGCTGGGTTTCTGCCGTGTCTCGTTAAAATTGGATTAATTTACGGATGAGTTTATTTCGCGATCTGCGCCCAATTTGAGTTCAAGTAGATCTAAGATTGACGGAAATCCGGGGACTGCGCCTATATGGTTGGCCCCAAGAAGGGCGGAACCAATTGTGGGTTCTCGAAGAGTTTCCAGGAACCTTATGAGTGATGTTTCAGCAAGTAAATCCAGCTTTGGTCCCTACCACCTGCTGGCTTCAGGCCTTCATTCTGACACCTGTTGTTGGAATTCCCATCATTTTTCCTCATTTCCGCCTCATTTTAGCTTATACTGTTGAGGTACTCTTACAACATATTTTTTCTTCAGTTAAGCGACGACCCAGACTGATTGAGCTGCGATACCTGGGTGTATGGTTTCATAACATGACCACGCTTAAGTAGCATTCACAATCCCCTATAGCTTATTCATTCTTGAAGTGTGATAAATTTACACAACTTTAAACTGGTCTATCATTCTCGCCACTCACTGTGCGCTCTATCTGGTCTTGCCAAATGTGATCTTTATTCTTGTCAAACTGTGTCCTTTCTGCGACAAGCCCACTGTCGTTCTGTTCAGTTTTTGTGAGCAAGGGGTGCAATCAGACTGTTATATTGCCTGGGGCGTATTCTTAATGTGCGGTTGGTCTTATGTTGGTTTAATTACCCTCACAGCTATCGTAATTTTATCTATGATCGGGAAACAGTGTCACCTATATCACCACTGAGAACTGTTCTTTATCTCCGATTTTAGCTTGCTCGTCTCCCTGTGAGTGAATTCTTCACCGCTCCAGTCGACCTCGCAACATATCCAGACTATCTGTTTGTAAATCCATGCCCAATTGATTTGGGTTTGATTATGGCGCGTCTTAGCACCGGATTCTATCGTCAGTCCGCAGCTGTACAGGCCGATCTTCAGTTACTTCTTGACAATACAGTACGATACAATCAACCTAGTAGCAACATCGTACGGAATGCTCGGTTGGTCTATCAAATAGCCAGTCAGTTCATTAGTGATTCGCGTCTGTCTCAGGTGAGTTGCCCTTCAAATGGGGAGGGCGTTTTGTTTGAACACTTCGGTGTACCGTACCTGCAACCTTGTTGGATTGCACCGTTCACCCGTCGTCTCTTCTGGCATAAGACATCTAAGCCAAAACGCAAGGTACCAAGTCTGGCGCTTTTCTTCTCCTTTGGCTGATGGTTACTGTGTTTTCTTTGTGTCCTTTGTTTAGACAGCATTTCGCCTAGAATTCGGATCAGTGCTCGTGGTGAGCACTTCATACAACAGTCTTCTGGGAAGTGAACACTGGGAGAACCACAAATTATACGCTGGTAGTGTGAGGAGCTTTGTGAATACCGGCCGAATGGAGCTCCTTGATCGTCATCCCATTTTTCAGCAAGGGAGCAAAAACGTCATGTGAAAACCATCGTGGTATCAGCTTGGTGTCCATCGCATCTAGCATCGCTCTCTAGCATTATTTTGCTCTGGTTGATGGATTATCGGGATAGAAGATTCGTGAGAATCAAGTTGGGTTTCATCCTGGTCGAAGATGCGTCGACCATATCTTTACCTTGAGACAAATCCTTGAACAGCGCCACTCCTTCAGATGTCCCACTTTGGTTGCTTTCTTGGTTTTGAAGGCTGCTTTCGATTCTGTCGGTCATCAGCAACTTTGAGAATGTCTGGTGATCAAAGGTGTTCCTTCCAACTTTCTCTCCCTTATGAGGGCACTGTATGCGAACTCCTGTGGGCGCGTATGAGTAAACGCGAAGCTCTTGCCTCAGTTCACCACGTCCACTGGTGTAAGACAAAGCTGTCCTCTCTCCCCTTCCTCTTCAACTTTGTTATTGATATCTGCTTGAAATTTCCCTGTCTGTCTGTGAAACCTCGGGAGTCTAAATGCTCCCGGGAGGTTCCCTCACAGACACTGAGTACGCGGGAGCATTGGTCAGGTCTGGTGGGAACACCGGTACGAGGTACGCGAGATGGTCTTAGGAAGAAGGAACTTTCCTGTGATAGGTGAATTACTTACACTTCATGGGTTGCGCTGGCTGGGACATGTACTCGGCATGTCAGAAGACCGTCCCCCTCACAGAGCTGTTCTTCCCAACCCTGTGCTAAGTAGAAGCGACCGCGAGGCGGACAGTGTATGACTGGCAACGAAATACGAAAACGCTAGCCAGTAAACTCAGTCAGGTGGGCAACTGTCGCCTCCCTGGATGGGGACCCCGGGACTCAACTCACTAGTGGTCAATGATATTGGCAGAAATAACCTAGTCGCGCAGTCAATGGCGCTCGTGCATCAAAACTATCGCCTTCAGTGCGTATCTACCCGATTTCCGAACAAACTGAACATTTCTTCCAAGGCTTCCCATTTTCCCGTTTTCCGATGATCGAAACTGTCGCTGCTGGAACCAATCTGTCAATGGCGCACAGTTTGTAGCTGATAGATCGATTGATTGGGACAGGAATTTGCATTACATTATCACGTTGACTGGTTGCTCGAGTGACAACCTCTCAGGTGAAAGCTTCAATCATTGTTTAAATTATTCTTCCCTTTGAAACTCCCCGGAGCTTTGTGCGATGTGAAGTACGGATGATTCCTAATAAGGTTAAAATGCTCTACAGTGCTGCATAAATTCCCTTTACTCACAGTACGAAATCCCTATCAAAAGTCGTTCGCTCTGAGACGATATTTTCCCCCCGATGGGAAGCAACTTAGTTCCACAAAGATTAAAAGGGGAAAAACGTTAACCTGAAAAGTGTCCAAAGCAGCCTTAATTTTCTTCGCTTCATTTCTCATGAAGTTTAGTCGCCTTTAACACTTCTCACCCATCGAGAGTTGTCCTGGGAGAACTCTATTACAAATGTTGGAGCCGTAGAAGCGTGGATGATTTCAACGATCCTTGTTATGACTGCTTCGTACCCGTTGACATCCTCTTGGTTCTGGGAGTACCACGGAATTGAAATGACCATCTGGAAAGACGTGTCGCTAGACGATAATCGGCCAATGGTTGCCTACTCTTTTGGCGTTTGGCTCATTAAAAAGTGTTCCAAATCTGTAGTCTCAAAGCTACTGTTCAACTCAGCAGCAATACTACCGAGTCCAGTCAGTTTACTGAAGCCACAAGTGAGAAAGTTTATTGAGGTTATCGCACTAGATATGTTTTTTCAAGCGTTCCGGGTTGATAAAATGGCTTGGAATAACTGGAAAAAATATGCGAAGGTAATTCATCTATTTTCCCGGAGGCAGATTTCGAGTTGGAGCTGCTTTTCGCTGGACAAGAATTGTGTGACAAGCTGGTTCCGCCAGTGCATTTTCCACGAATTGAATGATACCTCCATCTGGTGTCCACAGGCGAAACGTTAAGCTTATGGCAATGAGCTGAGTAGGTTGATGTGCAGTACAGTTATCCAGTATCAGTGCAACTCTCCTGCTTTATCGGACCGTCTAGTTCTTGGAATTATATACATGTGTTTCCGGATAACTCCGTCATCTTTATTGGCTTCATGCTGCGCACTCAGCCTGTTGGTATTCGGATTACTGAAACCACTTGGTCTCCTGAATTTAACCACAACCATGGTAATTCCGGCTTGGTAATGATAGGCCTCTTCGATTGATTTTTCCCTACGCATAGCTAGCTTTTTCACGCAATACTTCTTGTAAGTAGTGCGTGCGAAAATAAGCCAGTTTTTTTGGGTGACGTGTCCGCTGGTTTGTACCCTTTACCGAAAGCTGGAATGCGGTCCGGCCACCTGAAACCTACTTGTAGGGATGTCTGCAGATTGACCGCTAAGCTTTTGTTATGCCGCTGTTTGGATCTGTACACCCACCCATTGTTGTTTTGAAAACGATATCAACCCGTTTCATCAGTAAATCTTTTCGTTCTCCGTCTCAGTCTGCTGTACTAACAAAAGACAGGCAATAACTATTGAATTCACTCTAGCGAGTCTTTAGGACTTCACTGCCGTTGGTGATCTCTGAATTCATTCAGTGATGGTTTTTGAATGTTTATGGTATGAATTCGAGTTTACCTGGGATGATATGGCACCCGAAGATTTTCTCCTTCGATTTAATTAGACCACCACCATTTTATTTTGCACTTTATCTACTACTTTATTTACCTTCTACATCCCTCAGCTAGTCGCTACTCTTTCGTCCTGACAGCCGGTGGATTCGTACGTTAGCCGGAACCAGTGACGTGGTATGTCGTAACAGCCGATCATCCCTTTTGTCAGCCAGTTTGACCTCCCCTGGTGCATAAGTTATGCTAACTCCGCACCGTCTACTGGCCTGGCATGACGGCATAATCAGTTGTTGGTCCCTATTGAATATATTCTCGGTGGAACTTTGAAGCAGCTCGTGAACCGTAAATAATATTTGGAACCAACAGTCCCACGTTGATTATTCAGTGTACCTCCATTCTTCTCTAGCAGCCAATACTCAGTCAAGAAAACTATTGACTCGTTCCGAGAATTCAATCTATCGACAGATAATCTGTCAAGGCGATACTAATGAACTTCCACAGTTTTTTAGGCACCCCATATTAGTCAGCTACATCAGGTTGAATCTGAGTGTGGTATACTTTATCGTAAAATGTTCAAACTGAATTATTGAGTTTTGTGTACCATATAAGTACTTTAAAACCTTTACACATATCTTCTCAATTTATAGCGCGACGTTCAACGTCTATGCTTGAAATGTGAACGCGAAATGAAGAGTTCGGATCCCCAGGCTGTAACTAGTCCTACCACTCAAGTTGATATCGATGTTGCTTCTTTGAGTGGAAATTCTTCGACCGCCCTCGTTTCGCACGATAGCCTGGACGAATTAGATTCACTTTGTCGGCCTCGGGTTGTCAATGCCCAAACCCCTCAATTGCCTGACGATCCTTCAGAGACTCAATCCACTGTGAGACCTTTGAGACGTACTAGGTATCAGCTTCAATCGCCTACAAGACGTGTCATTCCTTCTGTTCAATCTTCTCTTCCAAACACATCACGTGAATTTTGTAGCCGTTGTGCTCATTTGCTACCAGCGAACTGGGTCCCTACGTGTTTGAACCTCATCAAATCATTAACTGCAAATCAGCACAGCCTGTTCTTTCGTAATCCAATTGATATAGAAGAGTACCCGGATTACTTGAGCATAGTTAGCTGTCCTATGGATTTGTCCTCCATTCAAAAACGCCTCTCGGCTACGATGAGCATCGTAAGTCGCCTGCGGCATCTACGGTCGGTCCCTCAAGGAGCTTATCGATGTCCTCACGAGTGTATCTCGGACCTAAATCTTATGATCTCGAATTCCAGACTGTATAACGAGGATCCGGAAACAGCCGTTTTTGCTGACACTGAGTGGCTACACAAATGGGTCTCTGAAGTATTCGTTCCGCATGTTTCGACCATTATCAGCTTACCCAGCTCTTCACTCTCCGAGGGAATTCATGAAGCGCCCAGCTTCAGCAACGACGATATTCGTCCCCGAACACAACGGCGGCATACTGCCAAACCTCGACTACGTCAGTCCAAACTAGCCTGTAGGAAGCTTGCCCTTCGAAAGGCTCGAAACACGCTCATTCGGCGAGGAGCCAGTTCGAAGCGATTAGATGATCGTGGATATACAGTTGGTGAGGAATTTGTTACTGTCTATACCTACTGGTTTGCAAAGTCCGCTTTTTGCGTATGTATTTTTAACTTCATGTAGAATATTCTGCGGTGGCGCGTATATACAGTCTTGGTGCTTTCAGTAGTTACCATTACGTTTACACTTACCATAAGGATCGTCCGCTTTGACGGCGGGGTAGCTAGATTACTGATCACTGCACGTGTGCTAATTTGTATGTTGTAGACGGGTATTCTTTAATAAACCCTACTGCCTTCCACTGCCGATTCCGTATGCACAGTCCAACAAAATATTGCTGTGGCGCTCGCCTAGCCCATGATACTTTGGATAACAGTTCGGACATTTGGTGCTTGGCGAAGTGGTCTCATTCGTCGTCAGACAGAGCTTGTAATACAGCTGCAGGCAGCTGGTGGATCTTCTGCTTTTTTGGTTAGTTGAGAATGAGATGTTCGTGAAACTGTGCCTTGATATGGGTCTTTGAACCGTTTTCCGTTGGTGGTTGGGTTTTGATCTGAGCTTGTCAGCTTTGTTGGAAAAACTTTCAGTCTTGTCCGGTCCGTCGTTTTGTACACGTAGTACGGTGTTACACTTACTTTTATGTGTACCCTGTTTAACAGGGTAGGATGATCTTTGAGTGTAATTTATTGTTTGGTAGGTTTGATGTCCCGAGTTCTGATTGATCGATCCTCAGGTATCCATTGATATTGACCACTTCGACTTGTACCCGGTTAATTTTGTCCAGAGTTACCTAGGTTGAATCAAGGTAAATTGCCGCGGTTTATCATGATTCCAAAAGTTCTATTACTTGCCACCTTAACGCTTGTCAACGCCTACACAATGACGCACCAATACCCAACTACACCCTTGCGATGTCAATTAAATTGCTTACAAAAAGTCGTCAAGCTAGTGGAGCAACTCAGCCATTAGTTACACTTCATGAACTACCAACCTCTTCTATGTTTAATCGCTGTTGAATCCTGGTGCTAAATTCTGAAGAAAGGCCGCACGGCTAAATGTTCGAAAGTAGTCTATACAAAAAAAGGCAGCCCATACGTACTGGAGACTTTCATCTGCTCGGCCATAAAAGGCTAATTCTTTTTCTTAGTACACTCTACTAATTCTGATATTGACAAAATCTCTGGCAACATATCACTGGTCCGCTCTATTTTGAGCGGACGTAGACGTAGTCTCCAACTAACATTAGGACGTGTATTGAATGTGTCAGTTACTTGTGTATTCAGCCAGTGTGAACTTGAGATTTAATTGAGCTTCAATTGGATCAAATAGTCTTGATGTTCACGTTGCATAGTTAGTATATTTTGGAATGTTTTGGTCAGTTACAAGTCATGCTACTGATCAGATTAAGTGCAGTTCGCCGACAGCGCACTATCTTTTACGCCGTTTTTGCATCGTTGTTTTGTATATCTTTGCAGCTTGATCATGAGGTAGACTGTACCGTATGTATATTCATCTGATACATATAAATACATTATATATAATATTGCAAGTAAACAGCATCGCACATGTATACATAGATCTCATGTTTGTCCGACGCTTGTCAGTCACACCAGCTGAATTTGCAGATAAGTGTTTCATTCATAAAATGATCTTTTTCGCAAATTTTCAACCTGCATTTTTGTCTACAGCTCTAGTGAAGCGGCAGTGAAGCATCGGTGTTGAGCACTGATGTCATGCTGTCGATGATGATGATAGCTCTAGTGGTAGCATGGCGAAGGATATCAGCCAGTGTGTTTTGATGGTCTGTTCAATAGAGACCAACATACTATATAGAACTAGTGGTAATCGCTTGAGGTTATCCTGACTATCCAGAAGGCGCTTTAGTAAACCTTCTACTCTTATTGGCCATTTTTGTACTCCTGACCCTCTGGTTGCTTGCGTGATGCACGGTTGCATTGACGATACTTATACTCAACGATTTTTTGATAACCCCACGAGCATATTGTCTTGTGCATTTGAACCTACCGTCAATTCGTAATCTTAAGGGATTTTGCGGAATTTTTTTAACTATAAGCGCCGGCCGGTTAGACCTGAGTCCAACTTTGTGTTATGTCCTCTGGGCCCACGTGTTGTTCTGGTTATTTACCTTCATCGTTGATGAGGTTTGTACTGTTAGATACAACAATGGTCAGTTTGCGTTTGATTGGTCTCAGTCTTGACGGCATATTACTGGATTATAGCCTACCCAGATTAGCACTTGCATTTATGGCTCAAAGCTATCGCTTGTTGGAAAGGTAAAAAACTGAGCTTCCAGGATAGCTTAACAGCCTGTGAACATATTCCAGTCCTGCTATTCAGGCCAGATGCGGTGCAATCAAATAACCGGACGGACAGGATCGTTGATAGATCGTGGAATGTAGATAAAGCCAGACTTTGAGGTAGTTTTAGCCTATTTCCTCAATCCCAACAATCTGCCTGTCCTTTCGTCATCGTTTTTGTGTGGCGTTCCTCGTTCTCATCCAGTAATGTCAGCGTAGTTAACTCATTACTGTCCGAAGCATTTATCCGCTTTCAACGTTTTATGTGTACCGATTACCACCGAGGAGAAATCTTTAGAGAAACCTTTTCTGTTCGTATATATGAAACCATTCCCAATATTATCCGGCGACCTTCCCATACAATACAGACGATCATCCAACTCCTGACTCTACGTATCCAATCCGAACTTCCAGCGGCCGCGTGGTACGCCCTCCTAGCCGCAATTCGCAGACTATATTCTTCCCCGACTGCAGTGATGGTTCTGAGGACTTTTCGGACCCAAATGCATGCTCTGGCACGGCATCAAAGACAAGAAAACGTCTACGTAGAGCTATTAATACCATCACAACACCTGCAATGACCTCATCCGAATCTTCTACATCGTCCACAGGGAGGCTTCCTCGATGGCGAAACAAACGACGACGTCGCACAAGGATGTATTTATAGTATTTTCTGTCCACTTCATTTCCACATTGACTATGTATATAGTGTGAATAGTGTTTTTAATCTGGCTTCTCAGTCCGTATTTTATCCCCACCCCCTTCTAGACTTTTGTATAAAAAAACAATCTTCCCGAATCTGAGCGTCGATGTGATTGTCCTCATACATGTTCATGCCCTGGTGCCTAATCTGTTCATATTTACCTCGTCTCCGTCGTCGTGGATGGATTATCTGAATTTTTAGAGGTATCATCACTATAAATATGGGATTGTATGTACATGGTTTGCTTATGGATTGTCGTTAACATTAAATTTTTTGCTTTGCTGATACTGCCTTTCCACCTTAGAGTAATGAATTACCGTTTCCGGCAACGTCAGTAACCTTTAGCTGAGAAGCAGCGATTCCGTTCGACCCGGCGTTATCCTCTCCTAGTTTGTAGATGCCAGTGCGAAGATGACAGCTATTCATCAATTGCAGATGCAGCTTGATTCTTGCGATCGCTAGTCGGAGGAATCAAACCACTTACGGGTTGCTTTTAGATTACAATCCCCGTTTTGTTCAAAAATCCACCCGTTTGAATAATGGACACATCGATCTCCGTGTAAGAGGCACCTTAAAGCTGGATACCATTTTGAGTGTTTCCCATCTAATGTGGTATGTCCGTGGGATCAGATCGAAGTTATTCCCGATAAGGGAGAGGGTATCTACTTAGGAGATTAGCCGGGCGATCCTTGAGGAAACCAGTTATCTTCTGAAAGAAAGCGAACGGTTCACATTTCGCTACCGGCTTGAGGTGTTCACTATTCGTTGAGGAAGCGCAGGTGGTGTACAGTTAGTGTACGCAGTGGGATAGTTTGCCCGTTCCTGCGGACTTATGAACCTACATCTATCCGCACACTGAACTCTGCTTATTCTCTTGGGAAATGCTTCGGCCTTGTGAACTCAGGCAAACGTGTACGATAGAATGACGATTCTTCGGACATACGAAAGCGAATCTGATCCAATCGTTCATTTGCCCTGTCATTTGACGATTGAACGATCGCGTCTCCATTTTTGAATGAAAGTCCCTCGTGCGTGCATCCACAGGAAGTTTTGTGATGTCGGTGTTCCATTCCGCCGTTGTCTGTGCGCAGTGTTGCTTAGCCGTGATGTTTTGTTACGCCTTGTTACGCCCGACCGGTCAGATTGACCACAGTGAATTCCAATCTATTCGTTCGATATTCGTATCTGATGTAGTTTTCTGAATGACTTCCTTAGAAGGGGATGGTGATTCATAGATTTCCCAGGATTACTTTCTTTGATCAGAATTCGGGCATCACGAGATCACTACAGGTTCCGTGATGTTAAAGAGGCTTCGCGGTAGAGTACCTTTCGTCGCTACTGTGCCGCGTTTCCGGTAGCCTAAGCTTGTCTGGCGGAAGTTTTTAGCCAAACGACAAGAATTATAAGCGAAGCAGCCTATGGTTCATTAGCATTGCTAGTATCTTTGCAACCGGTGATGTGCTAAGGTTATCAGTCTTTGTTGAAATTTGTTCACCATATCTCTAAAAAGTACAGCGACTGCTTAATTCCATTTGAAGTGAGAAAAAATGTATCGAGCATGTAATGTACCATCTTGCATCTATGGTCGAGCTTCCGTGTTGCAGTGGTTCTGCGCTCTTCGAGTGCTTGAGTTACCGCATGGTACATCTTTGTTGAGAAGGCCCTAGGTAAATAGTAGTCAGCCCTCGTACTACGAATTGGTTCTGGAATGCAAATGTGTTGTTCTCTTTACTGATGGTGCTAGTGTTCTTTAGCGTTCATATTAGTAAGAATGGTTATTACGAGATTGGAAGTGCTGGTAAGTTGGCTGCGGTCAAACTGCATGGGTGAGAAGGTGCTATTCAAGAAGCATCTGCCGTGCGAAGTAGTATTTTAGGCCACTTGCATGTCTTGGTTGGTAAGCCCTAATAACCGAGCTCACAGACTGAGGTATGAGATCTGGGTTAGTCATGGAGTCTGTGATATTTCTTGACTCGCTGGTCAATCTCCGAAACGAGGTTTAGGATACGATCGTGAAAGTTCACTCCCTTTTGCGGCATGAGCGTGCGAGCTGTATTATGGACTACTGTTGTTTGAGCAATCAGCGCGAAGGCCCCCACGCTACCATCCTCTCGCCTTTTCTGATGAAGCAGCCTACACATCGGAGCTATCAAACCCTGTGCTTTTCAGTTAGGCTACCTGGGCACGCTTAAATTTTTCAAGTTTGACTTGTGTCGTCTCTATGCTCATCAGGTCCGTAATTCTTAGTGTCGCCATTACTGTCTGGTTCTCCACTGGTGTCATTGCCGAAGGGCGGTGGCGATTTCGACTCCCAGTTCCAAAGAGGGAAATTTACTTCGCCGGCGAAGCATTTGTGGTGGTCATCTGTCACCAAGTTGATGAATAAGTTCCGTAGCATCCTATTTTCGGACTTTCCTGTCCAACTAAACACGGCCACTCGAAGGACGTCATATTGGTTTTCCCTGGAGATATCTTCCAGCAGCTCTCCTACTTCTGTTGCTACATCGCAAGGAAGATGCTGGACGACCTAGGTGGCTTGGGAAGTGGTGCGTCGGGTAGTAAAAACGGCCTCCACCTGGTGAAAGCATAAGCTGAAATTGCGAGGAAATATAATCTGGTAAACGTGTGCTAATTGCATTCTCGACTAGATCCACTGAATCGAGTGGTGTGCCTCCATTGTAACCGGGCAAAAGAAAAAATTACGACGACTTGAGAGGAAAAGTTCTTAAAAATAACTAGAAATAGTCGGACTCTCCAAGTCTGTAGCTGTCCGGCTACCGAGTAGGTAACTCTACCAGGAGTGTGTGGCAAAGAAATAAAAATAATATCGCTAGTTTGAGGATACAATAATAAAGAGGTCAGACGGAACAGACCCACTAGTAATTGTTCTCCATAAAGTAGTTCGTCGTTGACCCAGGTCAGCAAATAAATAATAATGCAATCACGTTTGTCCAGAAGTATTCTTCTGAACGGTTCCCACATATAGCAGATTCCGAAGTTAGTCTGAAATGTGTTGACACGAAAGTTATCACGTGAGACTAGCGAATGACCGCTGCAAGTGCGAGCGAAATCAGAAGAGAGAGAGTCGAATCACGTGACCACGTTTGTACTGCGTGAAATTGTGCAAGTGCACGTTTTTGTAGTTTTTCGTATTCAAACGAAAAACGACCACGCAATTGACAAAATACGCAATGTTATAATGGGAACAAATTAGAGGTACAAAACACCACACAAGCGAGCCGCAACGGAATTGGTTGCCGGCCTTAAGTCCTTGGACTATGAAACGCGCTCTGTGGTGTGCCTTGTGTGTTTGATCGAAAAACCAACAGGTTTTTCACAGTTGACCAAACAAACGCACGACGGGGACATGGTAGACAGATTTTCAAGCTCAGTTCACACTCTTTCATTAAGCAAATTCTTCTCATTTTGATTATTAACTGCGTTGAATAGTCTTTCTCTTATGGTTGTCGTCGCTCCATCTCAGGTCAAAGCACTAACGATACTTTTTCATGCGAGTACACGCGGGGCAAGCTTACTGCCCAGCGCTGAGAACTCACAGATTAGTAGTACACCATTTTTTGCTCGTGCTTTTCAGGTGAATGGTAGCCACTGAGCAACAAGAACAAAACCGACCTGAGAAACTTGAACGAAAACCGCGATAATGTGTAGCAATTAGGGCCAATTAGCCGCACAATACTCTTTGCTGGAAAATCTCTGAAAGTGGAGTAATAGATTTTGCGCTCAAATATTGCGTTTTGTTCCGTCTGTGCTCGAACCAGAAGCTATCCTAATGTATAGTCCTATTTTTACGCCTCGCCAAATTGATTTTACATTGGAGCAATCATACCTCTGGCGAATAAGTTTTGTGGAACAAATTCTCATCATTGTGGAGACCCCGGGATGCCTAAATTCGGCTCAAAAGTTTGGAGTGGTTCTCACTAATCAATTGTCCGATTGCTTTAGGCCATCAAGGACACGTCATAGTCATAGGTTTGGGATTTCAATTCCATTGTGCGAATACTGAATCCGTGACTACCTTTGTACCCGTCAGGCCTAGCCACGAGCATGACTAACCAATCAGCGGTCGGTTTTTGCCGTGCCCACTGCTCACCACGGTAGTGTGTCTGCTCTGTGACTGCGTTTCTCTGAAACAGATGGGCAGAGAAACCCTCCTTCTCCCACACCGCTCTTGCGTGACAAACATGGTCGTGTTTATGGACAGCTTAACCCAAGCCAAGGACGAAGGACTCATATCGGATGCCATATTTTTCGACTTCTCAAAAGCATTTGATAGGGTCCCACACGTCCCGCTGCTCCACAAACTCGAGTCTTACGG